GTTCATACGGAAACAACTGATTACAAGTGGAGCTGCATCCAGAACAAATGATCCAATCGGTGACATGTTCTACTAATTTGTTGCGAAATCGAATTTCCGAACGAAAAACCAGATAGTCAGATTGTTTCATCATCTAAACAAAAAGTAATTTGACTTAGATATCTGTGAACACCTTCAGCATAAAATTTGTGTAATTTAAAAAATTTTTAATAAAATCATGAATAAACATATGAACAGAACACGCAAAATTACTAACTGTAAGATACTAATTATAATACAAATTTAATCTTAAAATTAAATATAAAACTAGAAATAAAGAAGTGTACTAGAAAAGCACATAAGTACGAAAAGTTAAGAAATCATGTAGCCATAAAGTATCAAGATATTTTACAACGAGCGTGACTGAACGTTATGGACGACGAGAACGGTTGAACGCGTTGCAAAAATATAAACAGCAATGTTAGAAAAGTATTTTTATATATACGAGGTGCGTCGTTTGAAGTTTCAATGTGAACAAATGTTGATGGATTCTTACTGTCACGCATACTTCAAATGTTACTTTGTCATGTTGTGTGCAACAGAACTGAACAACACAAGAGTACCACTAACTTCGTTATCGGTTCAGTTTAGTTTAGTTATTGCTGGAATATTTATGACCATGTTTGGTTTACAAGCGAACAACGAGAAATTATGAATATATAAGTAAAATTTGGAAGCAAAAAACTAAAACCATGCTCTGAAGCACCATCGTAACAAAGCGTAGCATACATCAGCTCACAGGCAAACCATCAGTACGATACATCCCATGGAGGACAGCGATGCTAACAAAATTTCAATTCGTGAACGACACAAGGTAGGTTCTCTCGAACAAGATACATAAATCAGCCCACTGGATAAGATTCACCTAATTTACAATACATCAATCCAAGGAAACATCATGAGAAACGAGCCACTAGTCTAAAAGCATAATGCATAACCCGGAAGCATCTTCTGTCAGGAGGGTATCATTTCAAAGCAGAAAAAGATTCTGAATTACATTAACACAGTACAGCAAAAAGTTAGCTTGAAAGTCTGTGATGAACACCACTCAGAGTGAACAGAGCAAATTGATGTGACGAATTGCTTGCAGGAAGCCTCGCACTTGAAATCAGCTATAATATATTTCAACATCTGCAGACTTCAAACAAAACACCAAGAACCGCACTTCTGAGGCTACAGAAACAGATATGTTTGCAGTGCCAAGGAACGATCGAACGGAAGCCGAATGAAGAATGTTACTGAAAGATAAATTTCTGCCATTTAAAGAAACAATATGGCTTTACTTAACATGACCAAAGCTGGGCGATTAAAGGCCTCAATTCTTCCTTTAACCAGCGAAGTCTACCTTTCAGGAACATATTTCTTTCGGTTTAACTCGATCATCCCCTAGCGCTGCAAAGATATATGCTTCTGTAGCTTCGATAATGTTGCCTTAGCACCAGTTACGGTATATAGATCTTGAAATATTAACCCGCTTATTCAGAGCGAATCTTTTCCCAAATTTCTCGCAAGAAGCTTTTCTTAACTTCTAAAATTGTTACAACTTCCGCTGCCTTGAAAAAGTTTCAGGGAGAGATGACGTTTTCAGGTTCTAAATCAGGAATAATATCAGCGTAGTAGGTCGTTTTTGATCATGTTACATTGTCTTGGAATGTTTCACAAACCTTTCCAAAATTCATCGAATCACATCCAGTGCGCTGGTTTACGTTCGAAGTTCGAGAAAACCTGCTATGCCCTTCGTCTGGATTTCGAAGACCCCGAAGTGACGGCGATGAAAGCATATGCTAAAGGTCAGGGGAAATGTGCATCGTAATGTTTAAAATTATAACTGTGATTAACCATAATCTGTTACCGGATAGGAAATAATTTAAATAAAATCACAGAAGCAAATGAAAAGAGAATTCGACTTACCACCTCCATCAGTTGACACAATTTCCCTCTGACAGCCGCTGATTTATGACTGCCAACCAAGCACTTAGCGTACCTATAAAACGAAGCTGAACGGAAGTTATACACAAATGCGGACTGGATAAAACGAGACACCAGTTTTGGCGTCATTCAATAAACATGCGGCAATGTGATAACTCGTTTCGTACTTAAAACACTTCCGCTCCCTTAGATTTATTGGAATTTCCAAAATCAAGCATCATTTATGAGTGCATATGTTACCACCCAAAGTGGTAATCCACCCGTACAGACACGAGCTGAAACTGATTTGCTGTTCAGTCCAATGCGGTAACTTCCCATTATGCTCGCCTAATGGCAATTATAGTTATGGACACTTGAGAGCGCAGTGCTTGACCTATACATCAAGCCCACAGTGGAACATTAGTCAAGGCGGCTAATCAAGCGAAAGCAGTTATGCATGCGAACCCTTTGCACTATAATAGTCCACCGTCTTAGTTGAGATATCCGTGAAATTCCTACCGTTGTACAACTGTAATTGTAATCAAGTGTTTCTGTCATATTGATGCATAGAATGAATGACTTGTTGTTTTAAATCACGTCTGTCGACTGTGCGAAATAATCTCATTTTCTCAAATGTTTTGGTAAAAGCTTCTTGATATAAATTTTTTTTGCTTTGAAGAAAAACAGCCCATTATGCTTCCTTGTAATGAAATGAGTGCATACCGAATGCATTACGAAAACATACATCTAGATGCTGGAAGTCATAAATAATTCTAAGCCGCAAGAAGCTGGAGTTTCATCGCTGAAGTCACAGGCATTCCATTACTCTTATCGGTCTTTCAGAGAAAAGCAAGTTTTGGACGCAAGCTATACTTTACTATCACTTTACACTTTCGTTTAAACAAAAGAAAATGAAAGCAACTTCGCGCGACGTCTTCTGCAACAGCCGATGTGATCGTTCATTGCAATAAGTAAACTTAGTTTTCGACTTTTCCGGTTGCGCTTGCTTTTGGCTTACGAAGTTAAAGAATTTCGCTAAAGGATCTATTTCATAGTTCATTGTAAGACTGTAATAAATAAATTACTTTAATGTTGCGATAGACTTTCACATAAATCACAACCAGGCTTTTCACTGACGTGACTTTTTGGTCTAAGAGCGATTCAGTTTCATTTCACACCGGTATGATCAGATTACTACTCAGGACATTAGCATGTAAGTCACTTAGACATATTTTGTAAAATAATAACCTGCAGAAGGTCAACAATATCGGCTCGATGCAAGAAATCTTTAGGTCGCTCTTCCAGGTAGATCCGATTTCAAGAAGTATATTCTTCATGATATAAACAGCGTGTTCGATGAACTGCGTGTTTCCGTAGGTCAGCAATATCTGAGAAAAGACTATAGAGTGTCAGAGATGCTACAGAAACTCATTACTCAATAAAAGACCAGAAACGACAAAGGCTTACTTCTCCGGAGGAATCAAAAAATCGTTCGGTGAATGTCTTGATCTGCTCGAACACGCTTTCGTATAGCAAAGGACTCAACTCAAAACTACAGCTTTCTTTCACTTGACGAATGATTGGTGCCTCAAGGTTTTCCGACTGAAGAAACAACAGCGACAGAAAGTGACTGAGAAACCTGAAGCGAAGAATCAAATTATACTTTAAATTCTGAGTGCCCACCCTTTGGAAAAGACAACGAAATGTACTTACTGTGACGCCGGACCGTAGTGATCCTTGGCCACTGTTATTGGAGGTGTCGAAGGGGTGACGGGGTCGACA